GTATTTTTAGTAGAGATGGGGTTTCACCATGTTGGCCAGGCCAGTCTTGAACTCCTGACTTCAAGTAATCAGCCCACCTGAGCCTCCCAAAGTGCTCAGATTACAGGTGTGAGCTACCACGTCTGACCCAGTTTACTTTTATTAGAGAAGATTAATTTGTTGATATACACCCTTCATTATCTTAATACTTTTTCATGAGTTAATACTTTCTTGGCAAAGAGGCCTAATCTCTTGAGGTTTTTAAAAATACCTATGAATATTTTATGTAATTGATTTTTGCTTCATTCTTTGTGTCTACAATTTGTTAGCTAATATTTCTGGTTGCTAACAGTTATTATTTAATCTTTCTCATCAAAGTTTAACTGGTTATTACTACCTTATTGATCTTTTATGTAAACTTCTCTAGTGAAAGGAAAGGTAATAGAATGCAGTTTGCTCACACTAAAATGTTTTCAATTGCTAAATATTTTTTTCTAGGGAACTTATTTTTAGGAATATTTAAATATTCCTAATTGATTAAAAAGACTGAATCCTATTGTTTGTCAGAACTTACTATGTTTTTCTCTAGAATTACATATATTTTAGTGGATTTAAATGTTCTACATTATTTCAGCATTTTCTTTTTTTGAGACATAGAACCTAAATAGCATGTGGTGATTCCTAGACAATTCTTAAAGCTTCTTTTGAGATAAACATGAGAGGTCTTTATCAATAAAGAATTTTGACTGTGACCTAAAAAAGAATGTTGTTTGTGGCCATTAAGATTGCATTCACTCAAACAAGAGTTTATACTGATAAAGTGTTAAATGAATACTTCTTTTGATTGATCATTAAATGTTCCAGTTGATGCAGTTAAAGCAGTTTTTACTTAGTTCAGTGAGTGTATCCCCAGGTTTATGTGGTCATACTGCACTTTAACTTTACCTGAGTACTTTGTAAGTCATTCCTTTAAATTAGGTTATTAATTTAAATTAATTTAAATGTTGATACAGAGAAAAGCCTGATGACAGTATTATAACTAACTATATCTTAGTGCTAGGAAAATATAAAATAGTATGATTGTGTACTTTGTGAGTCTTGGAGACTCTTAGTACTCCATGACCTACACGTTAAGAACTGCTGTAATGCCGTAACGCTGTTTTCACCTGTGGTTCTGGGAATTAGTTGCTTCCTGTTTTGGTCATCTGTTAATTTAAGTACATTTGAATTACAAGCTTTTCAGGAATACATATGTATAATTCTTTTCATGGAAAGGCATACTGCAAAGATAAGTTAAAAATCTCGCCTTTTGTTAGGCTTTGACTGTTGGAATTCTTTTTTTATTTTATTTTTTATTTTTTGACCGTATGGGACATGGAGATACGTTGGAATTTTTGAAGAATGAAAGTATCTTGTGAATGTTAAAGGCTTTATGAACTCTATTTTAGCAGAATCACAGAGGCTAGCTCAGCCACTTACTATTCATATGACGTTGACTAAGTTATTCAACAGCTTTGTGCCTCAGTTTCAGTATCTCTAAAATGAGATAACAGTAGACCTACTTCACAGAGTTGAATCCATAACATAAAACTGAGTTTTCATCATAGCTTTATTTTAGCGCACTGCAGACTTTTGAGAATGTGGGTTACAAATAAAGTTGTTTTGGCTTAAACCACAACTCTTAATTTTTGTAAAGTAATAAAGCATTATTTAAATTTGTAAAAATAACACATATAACGCACTGGTTCTGACTTAAACTCCAATTTGAAATATTATTAAAAGTCATTCATAGGGGGAAGTAAGGGTCTTGTGTCTTGCTTGTTGGGTGGGCACACAGTTGTGAATTTCTTCAAGTGGTTCTTACTGATATTTGATAGATTTAGTGATAGTGAAAAATACTGTATTTCATTTTACAAAGTCATCTTAATATAATCTCTATCTTTTTTTACATTTTACTGGAAGTTTGTAGTGGTGGGTTTCTAGAAAGTAACGGCCTGAAGCTATGACTAGGAAGCTGAAAACTTCTTTTGTTCCTTCTAAAATAGTTACAAAATGATGTCATCAAATTATACTGTCTTAAGAGCAAAGCTGTATAAAATAGTATTTAGTAATCATCTTTAAGATACTGTTAACATTACTAAATACAAGTATATATATGTATTTAGTGAAAAACGCTGTAATATACCTCATGAATTGGTATTTTAATACAGTAATATGCTATAGTAGCATGAAGTATTCTAAGATACTCTGCTTATCTCATTTGGAGAAAGGTATTTTAGAACTTGTACCGATTTATAAAACACCACCAGAAGGGGGATGTTTGTATTTAATAGTTGACTTAAAACCATAGATATTTTCAGTACATTAATACATTTCCCATGAAATTCTCTTAATGACAATGGATTTAATAAAAGAAGGTGCTTTGTGAATAATAAAGCTTATACTATTCTAGAAAGTTATTCTAGAGAGTGATACATAGAGCTGAAAATATAAAGAGATGATAAAAAAGATTGTTTATGCCCCCTTTCCCAGCAGTGAATCATAGGCCAATAGTTAAGGTATTAGGGTATATATAAGGGGTGTGTATAATATTGAAATCTCAAGCAGTGAGATTGTAAATAATTACCCTCTCTTAGTGGTTAGATACTGAACTCCTGACCGTTCATTGTGAAGACAAATTCAAAAGTAAAAGTATAAATTGAACTCCTGTGCTCCCCAAAAGTCATGGTTATAAAATCCCTGTATTTTACTCAATGATGCTGGTGTGTAACCAGCCTCTCAACAACAAAATATCTGTTATATTTACTTGTTACAGATACTTACCTAGATGCTGTAGATACTATTTTTATAGCTGAAAGATTTTGGGTGTGTTGAAGCATTCCTCACTTTGATCAGTAGGTTCTAAGAACTTAGTAGTTTCTAAGTAGTGATAAATAAATGGCAATTTGATTTATTCGAAGTAGTGATAACATAAGTTTTATTTTAAAATAATTTTTTAAATATAATACTTGATGAGTAGCCAATTTTATCTTACAGTCTAGCCTTTTTTTTTTGGAGATAGAGTTTCATTCTTGTTGCGCAGGCTCACTGCAACCTCTGTTTCCCGGGTTCAGGCAGTTCTCCTGCCGCAGCCTCCTGAGTAGCTAGGATTACAGGCATGTGGCACTATTGTCTAGCTATTTTTTTTTGTATTATTAGTAGAGACAGGGGTTTACCATGTTGGCCAGGGTGGTCTTGAACTCCTGACTTCAGGTGATCTGCCCACCTCCCAAAGTACTAGGATTACAGGCATGAGCCACCAAGTCTGGCCTCAGTTTAGCTTTTTTTGCAGGTCAGTAATAATATCCGTTAATGGCCAAAAATTTTATGATGAGAAATTTATTTTTAGGAAAGTGAAAATACGGCTTTTAGGCTGGGCCTGATGGTTCACCCTTGTAATCCCAGCACTTCGTAAGGCTGAGGCAGGAGGATTGCTTGAGCCCAGTAGTTAGAGACCAGCCTGGGCAACATAGAGAGACCTCATCTCTACAAAAAAAAAATGAAACAATTCACCAGGCATGATGGTGCATGCTTATTGTCCCACCTATTTGGGAAGTTGAGGCAGGAGGATCACTTGAGCCTAGGAGTTCGAGGCTGCAGTGAGCTATGATGATGCCACGGCACTGCAGCCAGGGTAACAGAGCAAGGATCTCTTAAGAAAACATTTTTTAAAAGCAGCTTTTAGGAAGATTGGTATTTAAATGTTCTAATGTGAGAGAAAACATTTTATCTCTTCATGATGGTGTCTTTGAGTATAATAGCTTTATTCATTGTAAGCTTTGGGCATCTCTCTTTTCTTTTTTTTATTTTTTGTTTTAAATAACTGCGGTGCAAGAATGGAGTGTGGTAGCCAGGGCATCTCTGTTTTTTAAGTTAGACAGTTTTTTAAAGGAGTCATATGTGACTTAATAGCAATTAGGTTTCCATCATAGGCTTTTATTTTCTTTATTTCCAGCTTTATAGATGCTTTTCAACAGTATTTTGTATTATAAAATGTAACTTTAAATGAACATTTAGATTTTAATAAGATAGGCTTTTTAAAAGTACAGTAATTATACTTTCTTTAAACATTGCTGCTTTTGTCTCATAATGGAATGTTTTTCATGATTGCTGCATTTAACAGTTTTCTGTTACTGGAAATGGTCATCAAGTCAAAGTGAAAATTGCAATTTTGATATGTTATCTTGAGTAATTTTACTTAAGAGATTTCGTGGAAGTTAATTCTATGTAACTGTTGTTGGTAAATGAAGAGATTTTAGGAAGCAGTTTCTGTAATGGAATCTCAAATGTTTTGAATATTTCTGTTCTATAGTTAACTGTGTAATACTTTGATTCAGGTTTTCAAGTAAAATTACTGCTCAGTTAAAGCAATGCTGTGTTGAGCTTTCAATAATTGCTTGTGTGGGCTATCTGTAGTCCCTTAATGGAATAATGCTTGAATAGATGAATAAAAATACACAAATGAATTGTAACATTTAGGCAATGAATGTTGTCTTTAACTTTATTTTTAGCAGAATTCCCTAAAGCTATTTGTGGTTATATGTTTGAATACATTTCAGTAGGAACTTGTTAATGGTCATTTCTATTTTAAGACTTCAGCGACCTGTGAGGAGGAAATAATTGGCCCTGGTGGTTATTATTACTAGATTTTCCTTTGCTTGGAATCTAGGCATATGTCTTTCATCTATTGGAATAAACACATTGAAAGTAATCTGTGGTAGATTTTATATAATCTGATTCATTGGTAATCTAATCTTGCAGTATAAACTGGGTGCTCTAAGCACTTGTTGTATATATTAAGCCTGGGAGACTGAATTTTCTTTTCAGTGTTCTTAAGTATGTGATGATGGAAAATTTTCAGAATTTTGAACGGAAAATTATGTCCCAATTCACTTTTTTTTTTTTTTTTTTTTTGATTTTAGATGGGAAATGTAAAGTCATAAGATCAATAGGTTGACTGTGACAACTATGTTTACTTACAGAGAGAACAGGAAATGAGAATGGGTGATATGGGTCCCCGTGGAGCAATAAACATGGGAGGTAGGGATTTGAAGCAAAAGGCTTTTGTAACTTACCATTTTTGGGGGGACTGTATATGCTATTTGTGGTATCTACATATGAGTAAGAAACTCAAATTACAAAACTAGCATTTCTAAAGGTGAAATCTCTTACATCCATTAACCTGGAATACAATACAATTATATTAAAAATAAATACCTGGGAAGAAAATTCTCATTTTGTTTTTGTTTTAAGGCTAAAAGATGTATTATACATTCATAGGCTTAATGAAAGAAACATATAAACCAGGTGGAATACAGCTTGAAACTAGTTTAGTCATTGTATGGTGTAATACAGCTCTGTCTTTGTAGTTTTAAAATCAAATTTTATGCTTTCTAATTGGCTTTGGTTTTTTTTGAGGCAGGACCTCACTTTATTGCCCAGTTTGGAGTACAGTGACGCAGTCTCTGCTTACTGAAACCTTAGCTACTGGGCTCAAGTGATCCTCCCACCTCACCAGGTAGCTGGGACTACAGGTGCGCACCACCACTCCTGGCTTATTTTTTGTATTTTTCGTAGAAATGGGTGCATGGTTTAGAGTTGACAAGAGTTTTTAAGAAAGTACCTATATTAGCAACTTTAGTATGGATTTGCTTGTATAGCCAATTGCAAGGGAAATAATGCCAAGTAAATAACCTGAAGGAAAAACAAATGTGGCCTATCGTAGGCCTTACTAAATCTGAAATCTGAAATGTCATACATTTAAAAATTGGGTAAGGAATTAAATATTGTTAAGTTATTTGCCCCATAAAAGCTGTCCCACATTACATTGTTCCACAAAAGCTGTCATGAAGCAAAAATCTTTATATAACTTAAATGTACATATTGTTTTAAAGATTACACTGCCATGGCAAACAATGTACTTAATATGCACACTCATTTACAAAATCAAGTATGTTCTTAGCATAATGGTCTATCAAATGAAACTTAAAACATGTCATGTGTGGAATGAACATTTTCAACGATCGCTTTTTTTCTTAAACTTCTCTTGCCAGTTTTTCAATAAAACTAATCAGATAATATAGAGTCATATATTGCTCTTTACTTTGTCACATTTTACCAGCAAGTAGTTAGTGAATATCTCTGGTATATGCAGGAAGCAAGAAACATGGCCCTTGCCCATTAAGAACTTAATTGTGAAGTTACAGCAGTGGATACATGAAATAATGAACCAAGAGTGTCTACGTTCTAAATGAAGAAGCGTAATTGAGTATAATAATGTCCAAGTGGTCCAATATTTATGTCTCTTTTTTAGAATAAATTCTGGGATGGTATTTAACATAATCCATGTAACTTTGAGGATTTTAAGAATAAGGTTATTATAGATTATAGGCAGTTTAAAAGGCGCTTGTCATTATTAGAGTGACATTAACATCAGAGCTAAACTTTAAAATAGTATAAAACTTAAAACCGTTTCTGATGGTGCAGAGATACCCTGTTATTTTATTAGAAGAAATATAAGAATATGTTTTTAGAGTCCTTAGTTAGGAATTGAAAAGAATTTAAATTTTTTGTGACATTTTATTCACCAGAGAACCTATTTACATTTTAGCATTTACTCTCAGTCGAGTTCATCTAATTTTCTCTTCAGTCTTTTGGTTTTACAGAGTTACTAATCATTGTAATTCAGTTGAATTGTTGAGAAGGTAAAACCGTCATAGTCTCATCAAATTATGTTGATGGAAAGTGGCAGCAGATTTTCTGGTGTATCACTAGAGCGTAAAAAAGTGAAACAAACATTATAATGCTACCACTCAAGTAACCAGATAATGCTAACATTTCTTAGATCTTAAAATTTATTTATGGCTATGTGGTAGAAGATATGAGTACTAAAAGTAAGGCTCTTAGTTAACTACTGTTAGTTGGGAATATTATTATTATTATTATTATTTTTTTTTTTTTTGAAACGGAGTTTCGCTCTTGTTACCCAGGCTGGAGTGCAATGGCGCGATCTCGGTTCACCGCAACCTCCGCCTCCTGGGTTCAGGCAATTCTCCTGCCTCAGCCTCCTGAGTAGCTGGGATTACAGGCACATGCCACCATGCCCAACTAATGTTTTGTATTTTTAGTAGAGACGGATGTTGACCAGGATGGTCTCGATCTCTTGGCCTCATGATCACCCACCTCGGCCTCCCAAAGTGCTGGGATTACAGGCTTGAGCCACCGCGCCCAGCCTATTATTATTTTTTTATACCCACAGTTGTATAGTTATTTTCCAAAGCCACCATTGTAAAATTACATTCTATTAAAGAGAAAGAGAGGAAAAAGAAACTTAATTTGTTTCCTGGGGGATAGTTGAGTAAGATGCCTCTTAGATACTGTTCTTATACTCTCTTCATTTCTAGATTGTAGAAATTATTAAAAGCAGCTATTTAGGCTGAGCATGGTGGCTCATGCCTTTAATCTCAGGACTTTGGAGGGCCAACGTGGGCAGATCACGAAGTCAGGAGAATGAGACAATCCTGGCTAACACTATGACACTCTTATCTCTACTAAAACTAAAAAAATTAGCCAGGCACGGTGGCGCATGCCTATAGTTCCAGTACTTGGGAAGCTGAGGTAGGAGAATCACTTGAACTTGGGAGACGGAGGTTGCAGTGAGCCGAGATTGCACTACTGCACTCCAGCCTGGTGACAGAGCAAGACTCCTTCTCCAAAAAAAAAAAAAAAAAAAAAAAAAAGTGGGGAAAGAAAGAGCTATTTAGGGCTGTCCTGAAGTAGTGGAAATATTCTTGCATAAAGTATATTTATCAACAAGAACATTATGGGCTGAAGGAAATAATTCCTTCCTATGAAGTTGCTAGGTTCCTGGGTATTATATTCAAAGAACAGAAGTATGATGCCAGGGGCTGGTAGGGAATCAGACTGCTACTCAGCTGCTCCCTGGACTCAGCCATATAGAGATTTCACCTGCATTAGGTAGTGGGTAGAGTTGTGGGTTTGAATGAAAACTCCGTTTTATAATGTATATTTGAAAAGCTGAGTTCTTACTGTCAGAAAATTGACCTATATAATGAAATACTAGAAGAAAACCCTAAATTAGAATGGCTTTGTTATGAATTTTTTGTTTGTTTGTTTTGTTTTTTGTTTTTTTGAGATGGAGTCTCACTCTTGTTGCCCAGGCTGGAGTGCAATGGCACAATCTTGGCTCACCGTAACCTCTGCTTCCTGGGTTCAAGCGATTCTCCTGTCTCAGCCTCCCTAGTAGCTGGGATTACAGGCATGTGCCACCACGCCTGGCTAATTTTGTATTTTTAGTAGAGATGGGGTGTTTCCAAGTCTGTCAGTCTCGTCTTGAACTCCCGACCTTGGGTGATCCATCTGCTTCTGCCTTCCGAAGTGCTACGGATTATAGGCGTGAGCAACTGTGCCCAGCCTGTTGTGAAAAAAAAATTTTTTTTTTTTTTTTGAGACAGAGTTTCGCTGTTCTTACCCAGACTGGAGTGCAATGGTGTGATCTCGGCTCACCGCAACCTCCGCCTCTTGGGTTCAAGCAATTCTGCCTCAGCCTCCTGAGTAGCTGGGACTACAGGCGCGTGCCACCACGCCCAGCTAATTTTTGTATTTTTGGTAGAGACAGGATTTCACCACGTTGACCAGGATGGTCTCGATCTCTTGACCTTGTGATCCACCCGCCTCGGCCTCCTAAAGTGCTGGGGTTATAGGCGTGAGCCACCGCGCCCGGCCTGCTGTGAATTTTTAATGTTAAACAAGTACAAACACTTAGGGAAAAATTTTCAAAGAAAATAACTAAAAATGTGTTGCATCATATATGTAGTATTAAAACACAAACACTTAAAATTAGTATGAGGTAGGTGGATTTTTTAATGAAAAAACTTGAAATATATCAGATTGTTCCCTTTGATGGAATTTAAACTTGTCAGAAAGATCCAGATGCTATATTAATATTTTATCCGTATTTGGTTGCTGTTGCTTTTAAAAACAAGTTCATTTCAGTATTTTTGTGTAGATTCCATATTTCAATATAAAAAGTTAAAAAAAAGTTCCTCCTGTAATTTAGAGCAGGGTATTCCATACACTCAGGGAGGAAAAAAAAGGAACTAAGATGAGAGGTTAGTTATAATGATCTTTATTTATATATTGCAGGAAATGATTTTCTCTCTGGCAACCTAGCATAATTTACATGCTAACATTTTTAGCCATGGCTTAAAAAAAATAAAGTGGTTTTGTAAGTGCTAATCCTCCATTTTTAGGGATTTTTTGGTTTAAAAGCAGACTAACAAATAGTAGTTATGTCTCAAAACTTGCAAACTGTTACAGTCTCAAATGCCCTAAAATAATTGATAGTTTCCTCATTGATTTTTGGTATGTTTGGCTTGGAGATGAAAATTCTAATTCTAGAGTGTAAGTAATGCCGTATTACAGAGTAGATAATGCAGATCCCATTCTCAAGCAGAGAAAATAATTTTGATAATGGTCTTGGTATATAGATTGCATAAATATTGTTAAATTTTTAATGTTTGCTAAACTAAGATAGGACAGCTCTAAGTATAGATTGTTTTACATAGATGCGTTTAGCCCAGCACCTGCTGGTAACCAAGGTCCTCCTCCAATGATGGGTATGAATATGAACAACAGAGCAACTATACCCGGCCCACCAATGGGTCCTGGTCCTGCCATGGGACCAGAAGGAGCCGCAAATATGGGAACTCCAATGATGCCAGATAATGGAGCAGTGGTAATGTATCATAAACATTATTTTGATTATATTCAGTAATGTACACTTCTGCCCCAAGGATAACTTCACACTTAATATAATTTGGTATCATTTGTTCTGGCAGCCAATGAAGAAAATTTTGTGACATCTTACGTTGATTTATTAGAGTTTTTTTTTTTGAGACGGAGTTTCGCTCTACCCAGGCTGGAGTGCAATGGCGCGATCTCGGACCTCCGCCTCCTGGTTCAGGCAATTCTCCTGCCTCAGCCTCCCGAGTAGCTGGGATTACAGGCACGTGCCACCATGCCCAGCTAATTTTTTGTGTTTTTAGTAGAGACGGGGTTTCACCATGTTGACCAGGATGGTCTCGATCTCTTGACCTCATGATCCACCTGCCTCGGCCTCCCAAAGTGCTGGGATTACAGGCGTGAGCCACCGCGCCCGGCCTTTGATTTATTAGAGTTTTTAAGTAGTTCAAGAATTAGGATTACTGTCCATGGCATGCTTTGGTACCTTAGTATATAGCATATACATATATTAATTACAGTTATTTTTCTGTGCTTTTAATTTGTATCCATCGTTACCAGCATTCTAATGTTAAAATATTTTATGATGGTGTTCTTTTCCTGTGTGGATTCCTTCTGTTTGGTGAGGACAAAAGTCCATTACGTATGAACACACAGTTTCAGTAAATATTTTTGACAAAAATATTACCTGTCATGATTTAGTGCAGACTTCAGCTATAAAGTAATTAGCATTCAAGTTTTTGTGTATTTCTAAACCAGCAATGTGACTTTCTTTTCATAGAATTTTAAATTATACTTATTAAATTTAGAGTTGACAATTTTTTGTCTTGATATGAGAGTGTGAAGATATCTTTGTGTGGATCAAATACTATAAAAACAAGGTTTTTCAGTTGTAATTTTTACTATATTTAAATATATCAATAGCAAAAATGATACCTTTTTTCATTTCCATTAAAGTCTGTCACTATATAAATGGGACTTTATATAGGCAAACCATTTTCTCATTTAGTGTTTGTTAATGCTGGTTGTAAATAACATTTTGAAAGGGAAATTGGTTGGTTATCTGTTTTGAAAAGGCGTTTTGTAACTACTATATTAAATCTTGAGGCGCCAATGTTGCTAAGAAAGAAAAAGCACTGCCAGTTAGATGCAGATGTGTCATCAGTTGTAAATTCATTGTGATCAGAGACATTAAAAGCAATGCATTGTATGTATTTAGAGTTGAATGCAGTGTTTATCCATTTATTTGCTTCAAATGTAGTCTTTTAAGAATTTGGAGAAATTGGACATGCTGGCAGTGGATTTTTAAAAATGATAGTTTATACAGGGAGATAAAGAGGCGCAGTGCACGTCTACCGTGAACAGGTGGCACCTAACACAGCGATTGCATTTGTTTCCTTCAGTAGAGGCTTTATTTTATAGTAACATGTTTGAAAGCTAGTAAAACCTTACACTACTTTGGTTAAGTTTTTGTGTGGCATATAATCATCAATAGAAACATAGAAGTAACATTTACTATCCCGTTTTTTTATTGTCTCCCTGAACTTACAACTTTATTTAAATATTACCTTTGGTCTTGCTTGCACTGACATTTTACTGCAACACTTTAGGAAGTTCTATCCAACCTTTGAGATTAATATGTATGATCATTGTGAAGTTTTTCAAAATATTTAATTCAGATACTTAATTGTGCCTATTAGTACATACTGTTACATTAATTTTTAAAACTATTTTCCCAATGATAGTCTTTCAAGGAAAACACTCTCAAAAGTTTCCATACTGAAATCATAATTCTTTGTGTATGTTTGTATTAGTGCTTTCTGTCTTCAAGGAATTGATGTAAATTTTTTTTTAGAGTGTTTACTTTTAAAAAACAGAATGTGATGCTGCTCCCCAGTTTTATTTCTCTGATTTTTTTTAAAGTATTTTTCTTAAATAGCATAGTTTCGTGCAATATAAACTTTTGAAAAAAGGAATCAGAGCTTTATTTTAATATTGATTAGGCTTCAGATGACATTTGCTTCTGTCACGAAATCAGTTCTTCATGAAATTGGGGCATAGCATTAGCAATATGTAAATAAATCTTCAGATGCTGCATTTTAAAAAAAACACAGTAACTAATTAAATTGCTCCTTTCTTCCTTCTATGTGTGATCCTGATTCTGCTGGACTTTCTGCCGAACTTCATGACACCACCACTTGGGATTTTGCCAATTTTCTTGTCACTTATATTTGGCGTGTTCCAAATGGACTTCATATTCTGTTCCTTATTGTATGGTATTAATAGCACAATGACAGATTTCCTCAAGGACCGCCATCTCAGATGGGTTCACCTATGGGGAGTAGAACAGGGTCTGAAACGCCTCAAGCACCAATGAGTGGTGTAGGTCCTGTGAGTGGTGGTCCTGGTGGCTTTGGTAGAGGAAGTCAAGGGAGCAACTTTGAAGGCCCTAATAAGCGTCGTAGATACTAAACATTCGTTCATTCCTGGCTGTCTAGGAAAAAAAAAGTCAGTGGTATGCCTTTATACTTTTATCTGTTACCTGGAAGAAATGGTTTTATTGTTAATGTATGTAGACTTAATTTTTTTTTTTTGTAAAACTTAAGGTTTTTGTATTTTTCTTTATTCATAAGCTTTGTAGATTAGAGTGGTAATGATGATGTTCATCATTTTGAATGTTGAAATGTGTTTGTGACTTTAGCTAAATATAAGTATTCCATAGTACTGTGAAATCTATGTAGTTACTTAATCTCAATAAAGAAATCATTTTCGATAATTTAAAACTGTTACTAGTGGTATTCTTATGGTCTTACTAAACTTTGCTGTAATAATAATGCTTTGGTTGCTTTAACTAATCCTAGTCATTAAAAATGAAAATGATTTTGCTTTTTAATTTGTGCAAGTAGCACTGAAGATAGAAGCTTAACGACAGCTGATGTCGGTTAGGGGCAGATAGAGTCGTATATGTGGGGGTGGGAGGGTACGGGAGTTTAATTTGTATAAACCATTGATGTTCTGTGAAATCGGAATTGCTGCCTACGTTTCATATAGATTCTGAATATTCAGGTATTCTGAGACGGATTATTAAGGGTCTTTGTCCTGTGCTGATTTTTCTGAATAAATCTTTTTCATCTTGAAAAAAACTGTTTGAAGGCAAATCTCTTTTGCTTATAAAAAATGTCTAGCTTTAAACATATATGCCATTATTTATTTGGTTTCAATATCTAGATCTTATCCAGTTATTGTACAGTTAGTGTTAAACATTCTTTAAAATAAAACAATACTGTTGGGTTGGCCGTTAAGGGAGGATTTGCTGTTTGATTTGTGGTGAATTAGGCATTTGAGAATGGAGGTTTCTGGGAGTATTAACTGCAGTATTGTACATATTTCCCCAAAGTTTGGACATTTCTCTAGTAAAACCTACCTGATGGGTTAGGATCATTTTTCTCCAAGGAATGGCAATGTTTTTTCTTTTCTTTTCTTTTCTTTTTTTTAATTGTTTGTTTATTTTTTTCAAGATAATGCTGAGACACCCAAGCAAGAGGTGATTTTCAAGAGCGGAGAATTCCTTCAGAATGGTTAGAGTCATTGGAATCTGATTAGCTCCCTTTACTATCAAATACCTATTTTGGATTTTGATTTTTAGTACTAGGGAGAAACTGATTTTATCACACTATAATAATTATTGTAAAACAAAGTCATAGCCATGTTTAAAACTTTGCATGTTGGTCATGTTTGTTCAAAATTATATTTAAGGAATCATAAATGACTTAAACCACAAATCTAATTCATCAGACACTGATCATAGCATAGTTATTTCTCACATAACATCACAGTGGTTTACTATATCATACTTTCAGCACCTTTCTGAAAGATAATAAGCTATTTTTATAACAGTATGTAAATAGTGGTTTCTGTTTTGCTAGAAGGCATAGTTTAGAAAGAAATAATTTTAATTTAAATTTTACATAAAAGCAGTTGGTTGTAAAGCATAATTGATGCATTCTTTTACACCAATTAACTTTTTCATACATATTCTTTCATGTTGTTATTTTTTTAAACACAGTGTGGATGGAATTATTTTCTAAAATTTGTAGTATTCATAGGCTTCTGTTTCTGATAGTTCTTTGAAAACATGATTTGGAGATTGTAAGATAATAGTTAAAGACTATCCTCATGTTTCTCATAAGCAGGAGGTGATGAAGAGTGGGATTTGCTTTAATTTGTGACATTAACTGGGATATGGGGAGTTTTAACATTGATTACAGTTTTTCAGTAATAATTTGTTACACTTAAATCTACCTTTCCCATCATCTATATTTTATTCATATAATTCTCAGGTAATTTTTAGCATTGTTTATATCACTTCAAAGCTGAAATATGATTGGGAGAAACTTGATCCTTTGATGTTATACCAAGTTACCTTTGGCCAAGGCTGTGAAATTCTATATGATTCATTCAAGAACATTTGAAAGCCAGTGCACAAAAAGATGTCTTAATCTCCTGAACATCCTAGTGTCCAGGCTCAACTCTGGCACCAAGAACAGAGTTCTACACAACTTTTCCCCAGCATCAAGAAAATCCTTGTTCCGGCTTTACCAAGTTTACCCTGGGAACAGTCAGCTTCTGAGTGACAGTCAAGTGGAGCGTCTCTGAACTCCTAGTTAGTCCGTGTTTTTAGTTTTTTTGTATAGTTAAACTTTGTGGCTGGTTCAGTCAGTCTTTTTTTCTTGTGAATTAGTATACCCAGAAAGGTTTTTAAATATCATCTGCTTGAAAGTGGTAGATATAAAAATAAAGAGGAAATTGAGTAGTGTTAGCTTTGTAAGTGTGGTCATATATGCTATCATTTTTTTCATAAAAACTAATATGAAACAGTTTTAATATATAATAGTATTATTATAGTTTGTGTCATGATTTGAAGTACTGAGTTTAAAGTCTTCAGGACTTATGTTTCATTTGCTATTTGTAATTAATATGTATAAAATAAAGGAACATCTGCTTTCTTAATGGTTTTATTCTAGCACTATATGTTGTTGGAATTTCCCCCATTTTTGTTTATTTTGTAAATAAATGCATATATTTTTTTCTTGACAGATGCAGATTTTAAAAAACTGATTCACTTGTGTTTCACAAAATTGAATATGCTATTTTTCCTTGAGTTTTTTTTTAAAATTTTCTGTGTAAAATCAGTGCTGAGCATTCAGTGAGATTAAATATTTTTAACCCTGAAATATCAGTAATATCAGGGGAACAATATCTGTTTTAGCTGGAATTGCCATTTAATAAAAATGGGTATTATCAACGAGGACAGCGACTGAAACTTGGGCTCTTGATTTTCAAACGCTAGTTGAAATCATACTTTATACTTTGTTCAGAAACATACTTGTTGAATATTTCAGCAACTTGATACTTATATATAGAGTCTGTAATAATTGCTTAATAGCAATGTGAATGATAAGTAGTCATTAGGAAATAGGGGATAGGTTAATAATTACAACATAGATTCTGAATGAGAAAAAGGACATATATGTGATTGAAATCAAGTAAGTTTTGTGTAAGAATATGATCAAATTATGGTAAAAACTTTTAGAAAGGGTTGAGAGACCGTGTCCGGTAATACTAGTCAAAAATAAATGGGCTACATCATTTGGAAAAAATGGAGAAAGTTTCCTGGGGAATAAGACAGTATTTACTGTTTTGTGTAGGTGTTCAGAGTTTTGTTACAACATCTAATGTGTTAAAATGTATTCCTGATGTGTCAGAGGATAGCAGTGATATAAAAAGTCAGCCTTCTTATTTTCAAGAATAAGACAGTAAACTACCCATATACATACCTCCTAATTCAACAGTAGTTCATGTTTTCCTGTGTTGATAGCTATTTGTAGGCATGGACTTTTGGGGGGCATGGGAAACTACTTCAAAGTAAGTAGCAGGCTTGATGTTACTTCTCCCTAAATGTTTCAACATATACCTTCTAAAAATAACATTTTTAGGTTAATTTTATACTGATGAAGATTCATTTTCTTAAGTCAAAAAGTCTACCTCTTAAGTTATGTGGCTCAGTATGGAAATATTTCATTCTAAGCAAATCATATGATTAAATAAATTGGGAGTCGTCTTATACTTTGTAAGAGAATTTTGCTTCTAGCAGCCTTCATTACTGACTTAAAAATTAAAATTATTTTTCTATGTTCACTTGTTTTTGTAGTGTTGTAAGGTGAAGTATGTGTACCATTTCCTAAGTGAATATCCATCAGTTTGTTTATAGACAGTTACTCTGGGGAAATGATGAAAAAATACAGAAAAAAATGGATAGTGTCTACTCTTTAAAATCTGGGTTCTTTTAAATATCAAAAACAGACGAGCCTGGGCAGTTGTAGTGAGACCCTGTCTTTACCAAACCAAAAAAAAAAAAAAAAAAAAAAAAAGTAGTGTCTTCTATGTGTTGTAAGAACATTTTGAATTTGTTTTTGTTTCCTTGATTATTGAATAACAATTATTAATGATTGAAATTTGAAGCTTGTAAGACAATGTTTAAAGGCCTACCACAAAACTGTTGTTTCCTGATTTTATTTGACTTTTTTTTTTCCCTGTAAAACCATTTAGAATATAAATATCTCTAAGGGTTTCTCTTTGTTGAAACTTACTATTAGATCACACCCTTTTTTTTTTACTTGATGAAATTAACATTGTATGTGTTTTTTCTGTTTTGTGATATTTTGTTTTCCTTTTGAATAACAGAAGTCTCTTATTTCCAGATTGAGGGTACTGAAATTCTTAATGTTATGTAGCAAGATATAAATTCTTAATGTTATGTAATATGTATATACACATTAAACAAAATCTTTTTCAGGACAGTTTTATGGCTTCAGTCACCATTATCACTACCAGCTCCCTCCTCTGTAGCAGATAATGTGTTTTTAAAAGAAATTTGACAGAATTGTTCTTTTTAAATTTGTCTTATTTAATCAAATGAACTTTAAAAGAGATAGTATTTTGCTTGTACACATAAATAAAATTTCAGATCTAATGGAATATAAATCAAATTTCACGTGACTTAGTTCAGTCTCAAAATTAAGAGTAGCATTAGTAGAACTAAGCAGATTTAAGTGGAAGTGTACTTAGTTTGAACACACAGATTTGTTCATTTTAGATTTTCATATTTTAAAATAAATTTAGTCCATAAGACTAATTATTCATTAATACTGGGTTCTGCATTGTGTCGGTAGTAATATAAGTGGACCTTTTATTTGTTAAATGCTCAAGTGTTTCGTTGATGGTGTCGAAGACTTTGAAATAGATTATTTTAATCTAAATTTTATCTTAATTTTTATTTTTATTTCAGTGTCTAAATTTGTATCTAAAAATTTTTCTAGCTCTTTATTATACCGAGATAACTTCACTTTTTTTTTTTTTTTACATATTGTACATCTCATGTACGGAATTACACATATATAAGCTAGTGTCACAACTCGAATAAGTAGCCACGTTCGTTTATTATGTTTTCTCTCTGATTGCATCTCTAAGATATATTCTTCCTTGTTCTAGCTGCTTTTATGCAAAAGAGCATTATGTGTTTGTCAATCAACCAGGCTTATGTGAATGAGATTTAGTGTATGTTTAGAAGAACTAGGTAAATATATAATCCTGTGCCTATTAACTTTGCCGTGTTTGGAATCCAGGTTATTTACATTATTATCTTTATGCTTATTTAAGTAATTTAGTTTTTGCAAGTTATATGTATTTTTTTATGTGAAAATTGAGAAAACTACATTTTGTG